ATGAAAAGCGCATAAGTATTAGTGCATTAATAGATATACTTGACAGTTTCTTAAATTAAAAATTAACTTAAAAAAACAAAAGCACTTTATATCGGTGAGTTTTTTTGATGGAATAGCCAATGTCCGATATTTAACTTTATTGCTAATATCGACCGATACCGATACCATGCCGATAATATCGTGCATCCCTAATCAGTAATACAGGTCAAAGTTCAGCACCGTCACAAAAAAGTCATAAAATACAATCAAACAAAAAGAGACTTTTTATAACACCACACAGGATTTTAAAAGTAAAAACGTAACTTTTTTATTGTACCAACAACACAGTTATGATTGTTTGCAGATGATGTGAAACTCTAACTGGTCAGCCTGTTGTTGTTGTTGTTGTTGTTGTTGTTGTTGTTGTTGTTGTGAGAGGATTAAAGGTACTTGTTGTAAAGTCATGAACACCGGTCAAATAAATCATAGACAAACTAAATCCACAAATATTTTCCTCATATCGGTGGTTAGTGTGTCGGTCTGTTAAATATTTGTAAGTAAAGTTTGTGACCAGGGGACAACAACAACAACATGTGTTTGTTTACCTCCAGAAACAGCCTGAGTGACTGAAAATAGGTCACCACTGGAGACGCCAACGAAAGAGCCATTTTGGATAAAGAAGCCCGACAACTGTGAGATACAGTGTTTCCCCCACCGTTGTACAAGCAGGGCGCCCCGCCCTGTCAACACAACTGAACTCTACGTGAAACTGTTTGAAATTGCAAATTGGTTCAGACTTTTTTTTTAATACAACACAGTCCCTCGCCATTTTGCAGTTCGACGTTCGCGGACTCGCTCTGTCGCAGTTTTTCAACGTAAGATTGTACACGACACACGATCGTCAACTTTAATATTACGTACGTGATAAAAAGTTAATGAAAAAAAAATACTTTGGACAGGCTTTTGTAGTTTTAACGCAAGTCAAAAGAACTACACTACCCAGAAGCCAACAGTGCTTCCAGCTGCTGTTTTCTGCCAAAATGGCAGCAATGGAGAGAGGATCTATCAATGAAGTTCACAGAACATGGCAAGAAGGTTAATAAACTGAAATTACTCTGAAGATGAACTCATCCTTCAAGTTGTATCTTCACTGGTGAGTAGCTGGGCTGCAGCTGATCCGGACTCAGTGTGACCCAGATCCTGGGGGCTGCAGGGAACAGACAGCGGTGGGGTTCGGCCTGGTGCTGGTCCGGACCAGGCTGAGGTGGTGAACTAATCATGGGCAGCCTTGCACGCTGAGTGTCCTTCCTGAAGCGGTAGCACGTGCACATCAACCTGGACGGGGTGGTGGGCTTTGTCATGCTGCAGGTAGGTCTGCAAAACCAGAACCGAGCTGCTGTTCTGCAGAGCTGGTGAGTACTTGTGTAAAATTTTGAAGTAGCTATTGTACAGTACATATACTTATGTTGTTAAAATGATGTAGGTTTAAGAGTTGAGAACATTGCAAGAGTGTAGGAAGGGTTTATAAAACCTTAAAATATAGAAAAATACTAAAATAAATACAAAGTTGCTACTTTGCGGTTTTTCACCTCTCATGGGGGGTGTCTGGAACGTAACCCCAGCAATAATCGAGGGACCACTGTATTTATTATTTCATGTTTGGGTTTTCTTGTGAATTTGCGACAGTTTTCCTACAGTAGCTGACAAAACAGCGCAGAAGACCGAGCGTGAAGTTCCACAGCGGGGTGAAGAGGTTTACTGAAAACCATTTTGTAGGTATGAAGACGGGTCAGACTGTCGGAGGACACTCTGTAGAAGGACAGAGAGCCAGCAGGCCAGTCGAGGTACACCCCCACCCGACTGGTGCGCCACCCGAGGGACGATACGTCAACTTTGTTGTTATGGTGCGAAACATAAAACCCGTCTTCAGAACAAACCAAGCACCAGGAGTGTGGAAAGTTCCCCATCCTGAAATCGCCCGTCTTGTCTTCTGTGTGGGCTCCCTCACATGATGTGACTCCAATGCTCAACGATCCAAACACCTCGACCTCCCAGTAATGGCGCCCAGTGAGGCCCTGCTCACACAACACCATCTGTGGGGGACCAGACCTTCCTGTGTGGTGAGGATGTGGTGGATCATCTTCCAGCCAGGTCACCTTTCTGTTTTCTTCAGACAGAACCAGGCACCTCTGTTTATTGTGGAAACACGCGCTCGTTTATTTCACTGTTTACACGAAACACTCGGCCTTTCTGCATCATCTCATATTTAACTGAATAAAACAAGGTTTGGTGCAAAATCTGTATTTAAAATTTAATGTGTCTGTAAACTCTTGACTCATGATGTGACACCAACAGAAACAAGACCAGTTTAGTTTTATTTAAGTCATTTAATGTTTAATCATGTTGAAAACAGCAAAAACGGCCAATAAATCATTTATTATAAAAGTCTGAGATTCTAACATACATCATCTTTCTTCAGCTCTGATGGACAGTCGATGTTCGGCTGAGCTCTGACCACGGCTGGGGAGTCTCCATCGAGCTGCACATTTTCACACTACCATCTTTTCCAAAGCTGTGGGAGGAGATGCAAACTGAAAACTATGATGGAAGAATAACGATCAAATAATAATGTTTAAAAATGTGCTTATTCATTAACTCCCTTAACATTTCATTGAGCTTAACAGACACGCCCACAGGATGATGACCTATTTACTGTTATAATTCCCTTGGACTTGAAAAGTATGAAACACAAGAGTCCACCCTTCAACACAGCTCCTTTAAAAAGATAATAAACTGATAAATCAAAAAAAGTTCAATCTGGTCCTCTGGACATTCAAAAAAAAAAAAAGCAAAAAAATGTAGAAACGTCCAGATTTTTTTGTTTTGTTTTGATTTTTTTTGAATGTCCAGAGGACCAGATTGAACTTTTTTTGATTTTTCTACCTGGATTATTGAGCATGCATCAGGATAAACTGATAAATGTTTGTTTAAAGTAAAACAGAATTAAAACAGAATGTGACTACGAGACAAATACATCATGAAGAAATACATAAAATTAGACATCACAGGCAAATAAAATGTTTTTTACAACCAAACAGTAAATGTTTCATCTTCTGAATCACCAAGCACGAGTAAAAGACGAGTGGAGGATTTCATCTACAACTCATTTTCCTCTCACAAACGTAGAAACATCTTGAAAAGTGAGAATTTAAAAAGGTTTCATGGCAGATGTACTTTTTATACAAGCCTTTCTACATTTATCTCTAAACAATGAAACATTAAAATGAAATGTATACTTTCAATACAATAATCACACATTACATGTGTGAAAATGAAACTATAAAATAATCCCAATAAACTGATTATAAATGAGGCTGTAGTATTCCTACAATGACAAAAGACGACAAACACATTTTATCGCAGCTGGTGCAAATGAACAAGCGACTGTAATTTATTACATTTGAGTATTTGCAGTTACTGCCAACATGAGCACTAAATGTGATTATACTTCTTACAATTAACAGAACCTCTAGTCACAAACTCAGCTGAACTGGTAATTTGTATTTTAAAGTTAATATTCTGAACAGATTTCACCATTAAAAATGATAGAAAACAAGAAAACTCAAACTCCATCCACAAAAACCCTCATTCATCACATTTAACAATCATCACATTTAACAATCATCACCATCGTCACTTTCAGCTCAACAGTAATATTCCTACCCAGTAACATAAAAGCTGAAATATTAATAAATTAATAAGTCGGGGACAGTTTCTGTCACTCTGCTCCTTGAAACACATCAGCTCGCAGCAAACTGAGCCGTTCATCACCTTTTTGAAGCCTTAGCTTAGCATCAGGTTAGTGTCTTCCTCTAAGACCATGTTGGCAGCTGCTACTCATTAAGCAGCTTTTCAGCCTCGCCAATGACCAACGGTGGTTTGGGTCAAATCCACTGCGCATGCTGCCTCTCCTCAGAAGGACGTAGGTTAATGGCGGCGAGTCGGCTTGCCACAAACTCTAGGTGGCTTCTGAGTCTTTCCCAGGTTGATAACTTCTAACCACTTTCATCCTTTTATGCTGATGGTGGCTTTCATTCATGGACTGAGGATTAGACAATGAGGAAGCTCAGGTCCAGATCTGTTTATTCCCAGAGCTCTCTCCTGCTCGGTTATTCACTTTGAAGTACGTCCACTTGACTTCTTCTTCTTCTTCTTTTGGTGGTGTTCATTGACAAACAGCCAACAGATTGATGGTGTCTTACCACAACCAACTGAAAAGAAGTGTGGCTCATGGAAGCCAACTCCATCCATCCATTATCTTTATACACTTATTCCTTTTTGGGTTGCGGGGGTCACTGGCGCCCATGTCCATCAGTCACTGTGCGACAGGTGGGGGACACCCTGGACAAGTCTCCAGTCCATTGCAGGGACACGGAGACAAAAAACCATTCACACTCTCTCTCTCCTAGGGACAATTTAGAGTTACCAGTCAGCTTAACATGCATGTTTTTGGTCTGTGGGAAGAAACTGGAGTACCCGGAGAAACCCACACATGCACGGAGAGAACATGCAAACTCCACCCAGAACTGCGCCCCGGCTGGGATTCAATCTGCCAACCTTCTCATTGAGAGGCGGCAGCTCTACCAATTGCACCACTGTGCTGCCCAGCAGCCAACTAAAACAAATCAAATGTGAAAACTACCTCCACACAGTGGACACTGCTCCTCGTCCAACACATATCTAATATACCTACCTAATATCTTCAAGCATGCATCGGACTCTAGCATCTCTTTGACTCTTCAGTTTATGACTGATAGTGAACATTTTAAGGGTGTTTTTCAGAGAAGCTTTTTGTGGTAAAGGTCAAACTAAATTTTGTTCATTTTGGGCTAAGTTAGTTTTAGTACTAATTAATTAAACAACCCTAATAAAATTGTTCCTTTGCAGTGTACCACATGTTCTAACTATCTCCAAGCAAACCTACACCATTGCCTACTTGAGATATTGTGATGAACATTGAGTTATAACTGACAAATCAGAGCAGAAGTGTTGGGATGGAGTCCGACAGCAAGATAGAGGGCATCACTGAAACCTCCTGGTTTGTAGGTGTAGAGTCGAGCGCTGCTGTCATTAGAAACTCTGTAGAAGGAAATGGTTGCAGCCTCCCAGTCCAGATACACTCCAACACGAGTGCACCGCAAGTTAGATGCATAAATACTTTCATTTCTGCCCAGAACATAACAACCCTTTTCAGAACCAGTCATACACCAGGATTTATCATTCTCTCCCAGCCTGCAGTCAGACACGTTCCCTTTCCGGTTGATGCTTTTGTATGTTAACCCGACGCTGAAGGGCTCCACAGTGTCCACCTCAAAGTAGCAGCTCTCTTTGAAACCTTGCTCACACAGAACTTGCAGGCATTGATCAAATCTTTCTGTGTGATCTGGATATTGTTGTTCTTCCTTCACCCAGGTCACCTTTCTATTACTGTCAGAGAGAGAGAGGTTCTTGTGTGCTGTTTTGGGGTCCAGAGTGAGATCACAGGCATCTGGAAAAAAGGAGAGAAACTTCAATGAAGGTGGATTATGTCAACTAGAAGTGGAGCTCTACCACTACTACAGAGCTTAACCTTCAATGGGGTCCTCAAGGGGGTCATGGGAGTTAGCCCAATCGGCTTACATGTGTTTTGTGGACTTGGAGAAGGCATTTGACCAAGATACCCAAGGTACCCTATGGGAGGAGCTCTGTGAGTATGGGCCCATTGCTATGAGCTGTTCAGTCCATCCATCCAATTCAATTCAATTCAATTCAACATTTATTTAAACAGATAAGTCACACTGAGCCTCAAAGACTCAGTTACAAGTGAGACGTTTGGCCAGACAATAAAAAAGTGGTGAAAAAATGATACATAGGGTTTAGAGACAAAAAAAAGTTCCTATCACGCTTTTAATCTTTGGTTGAAGGTCAACAGTGTGCTAATGAAAAAAAAAATCTTGCATACTAGCACATAATGACGCTGACATTACGGGGGGGGGGGGGGTGCTAGACGCAAGGATGATGAGCATGTCCAGAGACAACACACAGAGGCACTGCACTGCATCCATTTTCTACTACTTACCCATAATCGGGTAGCAGAGGAAACAGGTCCAGGAGAGAAACTTAGACATCCCTCTTCCCAGCAACACTTTTCAGCTTGTACTGGGGGACCCCAAGGTGTTCCCGTGAAAGAGAAGATACAAAATCCCTCTCTCAACTTCTGGGTCTTCCCTGGGGCCTCTTATCAGTGGGATGTCCTGGAAACCTTTTAAAGGAGGCATCCAGGAGGCATCATAATCTGAAGCCCTTACCAACTGACTCCTTTTGATGTAGAGAAACAGCGACTCTACTACGAGCTCCCCCGGATGACAAAGCTCCTCATCTCATCTCTAAGGCTAAGCCCAACCAGCATGTGAAGGAAGCCCTTTTCATCTGCTTGTATCTGGGATCTTGTTCTTTCAGTCATGGGCCAAACCTCATGACCATAGGGTTGAAAGGTAGACAGACCAGTAAATCGAGAACTTTGCCTTTTGACTCAGCTCTCTCTTCACCACTACAGACCGAAGCAATACCCTCTTTACGGAGGATGAGGCCACAATCTGTCAATCAATCCTACCAGCACTCGTGAACAAGACACCCAGATACTTGACATCCTCCACCTAAGGCAAACACTTTCCCCTGACCCATTCTACCTGTTTTCAGTGAAGAGCCATAGCCTCAGAATTTAAGGAGCAAACTTTCATCCCAACTGCTTTACACTTGGCTGTGAACCTCCCCAGTGCAAGCTGAAGGTCTTGGACTGAAGATGCCAACAGAACCACATCATCTGCATAAAACAGATGTTAGACCTCGAGGTTCCCAAACCAGACATTCTCTTTTCCCCAGCTATGTATCAATATCCTCCCTACTAACACCCAGGAGTAAACTTTCCAGGGGAGGGTGAGAAGTGTGATCCCACAATAAATGGAACACACTCTCTGGTCCCCCTTTTAAAAATGGGAATTACCACCCTGGTCTACCACTCCACAGATGTCATCCCAGTCCTCCATGCAACACTGAAAAGAGGTGCCAACCATGTCCAACAACATCCATTAGAAGCCACATCCAATAGAAGCCTTCATAATCTTGGGGTGAATCTTGTCAGCCCCTGGTGCACTGTCACCAAGGAGTTTTAGATTACCTTGGTGACTACTGCTATGGTAATGGACTCATCTTCCCCCAAGTCCTCAGACTCTGCCTCCTGAAAAGTGGACATGGTGGGTGGATGAAGAAGATCCTTTAAGTGCTCCTTCTACTGCTCAACAATATCCTCAATACGGGTCAACAACCTCACATCCATGCCAAGTACAACCTGGGAAGTGGACTGCTTTCCTTTCCTGTGTCACCAAATGGTTTGCCAGAACCTCCTCAAGGCCTACCAAAAGTCCTTCTCCAAGGCCTCCCCAAATTACTCCTAATCCCGAGTTTTTGCATCTGCAACCACCGAAGCTGCAGTCCTTCTGGTGACCCTGTACCTGTCAGCTGCTTCAGGAGTCCTCTGGGACAAGTTCAAAAGGCCTCCTTCCTCAGCCTGATGGCCTCCATCACTGCTGGTGCCCACCAGTGGGTCCTTTGGTTGCCACCTTGACAGGCACCAATGACCTTCAGGCCACAGCTCCTGGGAACTGTAACTCCAATAGAGGACCTGAATTTGGCCCATTCAGATTCCATGTCCCCGACCTCCCTGGAACATCTGAAAAACTCTGGGAGATGTGAGTTGAAGATCACACAAACAGGGGGCTCCACCATGTTTGGGTTTACTAGGTCTCACCGGCAGCCTCACTCACCATCGGATCCAACTCACCACTAGGTGGTGATCAGTTGCCAGATCTGCCCCTCTCTTCACCCGAGTGTCCAAGACATAGGACTGCAGGTCCAACAACACAAATATAAAATTGAGCATCGAACTTTGACCTAAGGTGGCCTGGTACCATTTACACTTATGAACCACTCTATGCTCCAACATGGTGTTCGTTGTCAACATTGCTGTCTCAGAAGAGCTGTGGCTGTGAAAAGAGATGTCTGGGCCTCTCTGCTCAAGCTGCTGACCCTGTGACCAGATTCCAGAAAAAGTGGAAGATAACGGATATAGAGAAGTGGATCTCTATATTTTGGAAGTCCTCTTTAGATGTTTTCAGTCAGAAATCTTGTGCTTTAGTTCAGCTCACATTGCCCAGTTAGGCATTAATCGGTTTGTCTTTGTGTAAATATTACGATAGAAAGAACAAATAATTGCTTACATTTCTTAAATCCTGGTCTCATTCGATGACTTCCATCCTTTTCCACACTTTAAAGAAAGATGACGGTTAAAAGAATGGTTGACATAAACCTTGAACTATGATTTATTTCTTATTAAGATTTAAACCAGTCTTCTCATAGCCAGTTAGCACTAAATAGCCAAATAGATCGAAGGTCTTTAAGAAGCTTCTGTGCCACGTTTCAAAGGCCAATAGGAAGTATTTTAATTACTTTAGTTTACAGAGTTTGAATTGTGGATTGTCCCTCAGCTCAGACAATATCTTCACTCCCGATTCTTCTGGATAGTTGTAGCTCAGGTCCAGCTCCATCAGGTGGGAGGGGTTGGACTGCAGAGCTGAGGCCAGAGAGTCACAACCATTCCTTGTGACAAGGCAACCAGACAACCTGGAAAAAACAGTGTTTGACTCAACACGTTTTATGTCTCTCTACAGAACATCGATTGCAACGGGTAAATGATGAACACAGCCCAAGTTGCTTTGTTTTTGTGTACATAAGTTATAACGTGACTAAAGCTCCACAATAAAATAGAAGTTGTGGCCATAGAAACATTGTTTTGGTACCTCAGTGTTCTGAGTCTGCAGTTTTGACTCGTCAGTCCTTCACACAGGTCTGTCACTCCTACATCACCAAGATCATTGTTGCTCAAGTCCAGAACTTTTAAAGGTGACAGAGGGAACTTGAGACCAAAGGCCAGAAGTTTAATCCACTCTAGAGTCACCTTGCAGTCCTTTAACCTATAAAAAGATTAAAAGCTTATGATTTAAAATTATGTGCAGATATACTATTCACATCTAAAACATTCAAACTAAAACTGACAGTAAAAGCCATGAAAGTCTTTCAGTTTAGGAAATTGAAAGAACTTTGAATGTGCCTTTAAGTTGACTTTCTGGCATTAAACAGATACTGAAAGAAACCGATAAGAAAAGGAGAATCACTTTGGGGATTAATGAACATTAGACTAGTGGAGATAAACCAGCCAGTGGGGAGCACATGCCAGTGCATCTCTTGTGCCGTCCCAAGCGAGAGTTAATGGTAAAGGTTGACTCATACAAGGGCATCCTGTGTAAAACACTTTTGCTGAAACAAACATGCAAGTTCATCTAAATAACGTTAAACCATATTAGATCGTCTGAGGCAAGGGTTAACAACAACTGCCACATGTGATGTTGACAAACAGAGTGCCGGCATAAATTGTGCTACTGTTAGTCAAAGACCAAGAGGAGGGAAACATGTCAGGAGTGTAGCAACTCTAAATGTGGCGACAATGACAGGCAAAGGTAAAAAATTGACTGACATGATACAGAGAAGGAAGGTAGATTTTTGTGTCCAAGAGACCAAGTAGAAGGGCAGCAAGGCTCACAGCATCAAACTATTGTACCAAGGTGTGGATAGAAAGAGAAATGGAGTAGGGGTGGTCCTGAATAAGGAGTTGGCAAAGAATGTAGTAGAGGTGAAGAGAGTGTCAGATAGGGTGATGTGTCTGAAGGTAGAAGTAGAAGGTCTGATGCTGAATGTTGTCAGTGGTTATGCTCCACAGGTTGGATGTGATGAGGAGGAGAAAGATACATTTTGAAAGATGTGGATGAAGTGATAGAGAGTATTCCCAGGGAGGAGAGAGTGGTGATGGGAGCAGACCTGAATGGACATGTTGGTGAAGGAAACAGAGGATGAGGAAGTGAAGGGTAGGTTTGGTGTCAAGGAAAGAAACCAGGAAGGACAGACGGTGGTGGATTTTGCCAAGAGAATGGAAATGGCTGTAGTCAACACTTATTTCCAAATGAGTGAGGAACATAGAGTGACCTGTAAGAGTGGAGGAAGGAGTACGCAGGTCGACTACATTCTGTGTAGAAGAGGAAACCTGAGGGAGATTGGAGACTGTAAGGTTGTGGCAGGGGAGAGCGTGGCCAGACAGCATCGGATGGTTGTGTGTAGAATGACTGTTGTTGTGAAGAAGAGAAAAAGAGTAAAATCAGAGAAGAAGACAAAATGGTGGAAGATGAAGAAGGAAGAATGTTGTGAGAAATTCAGAGAGGAGCTGTTAAAGGCTCTGGGTGGTAAGAAAGAGCTTCCAGATGACTGGACTACTACAGCAACAGTAATTAGAGAGACAGGTAGGAAGGTACTTGGTGTGTCATCTGGACAGAGAATGGATGATAAGGAAACCTGGTGGTGGAATAGTGAAGTGCAGGAAGCTGTTCAGAGTGAGAAGTTAGCCAAGAAGAAATATGACAGTGAGAGAAAGGAATACAAGGAGATGCAACATGGACTGTACTTATATAGCGCCTTTCTATCTTATTTTGAGATACTCAAAGCTCTTTACACCACAATCTGTGTCCTCATTTTCCCATTCATACAGCACTCTACTAGATCTCTACAAAGCTAATTGAACAAATCATTCTAAAGAGACTAATCAGAGCTTTTAGATCACATTCATACACTGATGGGTCACACATCAGAGGCTATGAGGGGTTCAGTGTCTTGCCCAGGGACACTTCAGCATGTGACTGCTGGTGGATTCGAACCCCCAACTCTCGCATTGGAGGACAACTGCTCTAACCACTCAGCCACAGCCGTACCACAACATAGGGAAAGGATAGTGAGACGTGGAAATCTGTACTTGCCTACATAATCTGAAATATCTTGTTCAAACTGTCATGATTTGATGAGACAGGCAAATAGATTTTTGCATTTGTGAATCTCAATGAGAAATACAAAAGAGGAAGTGTTGTGGCGCTTTGCTACTGACTCTGTTAGCGACTTTGTAAAGCCAGATATCTTTCATTATCATTACGAGCTTTTTGTAGCCAAAAAACATCACATCTAGTTTGACCTTTCTGAGTCTTTAATCAATCAGTCTATCAATCATTTAATCCCTCCCTGGATTTAGAGAAATAACAGACAGATTAATAAAACTTACACAGCCTTCTTGCTGCTCCTCACAGCTGGTATCAGCCTCCTCCTGCCCTCATCTGTTGTGTTGTAGCTCTTCAGATCCAACTCTTCCAGTTTATTCTTAGACACCAGAAGCATGTAGGCCAGAGCCGAGCAGTGTAGAGGAGTCAACTCTGTCTTTGAACGATCAGACATTTTGAGATACTCCTGTATCTCATCTTTTACTTTGTGGTCTCTCATTTCAACCATGGTCTGAAAGATGTTGATGCAGCTGTCTGGAGACAAGGCCTTTCTTCGGATGGATCTAAGGTGGGTTAAAATTTTCTTGTCTGTATCTTCGTTTTGGTCCAGTGGAGTCAATAGACCCTGGAGGACTCTGCAGTTGGGTTCAACCATCAGACCAAGAAGGAACCGTAGGAAAAAGTCCAAATGACCATTCTTCTTCTCCAACACTTTGTCAATGGTCTTCTTCACAATATCAAGTAAAGAATGGTCTTTGTCCTCCAAATTAAGGAAGTTTCCAAGTTCTTTTGTTGTTTTTGTTGTAAAGCATTCATAAACGTAAAGAGCTGCAAAAAACTCTTGTACCGTCAGATGCACAAAAAAGAATGTGTTTTTCTGGGAGAAGAATTCTTCTTTTCCAAGAACCATGTTCCAAAAACCAGAGTGCACTGTTGCTTCTTTGATGTCAATGCCACAGTCCTCCAGATCTTCTTCATAGAAGATGAGCTTGTTTTCCTGAAGGTGGACAAATGCAAGCTTTCCAAGTTTCAGAAGAAACTCTCTGTGTGTCTTTAGAAGATTCTCTTTGTGTTTCCTAGTTTTCTTGTCATATTTCCCACTTCTGCGTTTTGTCTGGACAAACAAGAAATATGCCATCATCTCTGTCAGAGTTTGAGGGGTTTCAGTTTCTTCATCGCCTCCAAAGACCTCCTGAAATAAAACAGCCGAAATCCAGCAGAAGATTGGGATCTGGCACATGATGTCCAGACTCTGTGAGGACTGAATATGGGATATTATTCTGTCAGCGAGACCCAAGTCTTTACTAAATCTTCTCTTGAAGTATTCCTCTTTTTGTGGGTCAGTAAACCCTCTTATCTCTGTCACCATGTCGATATACTTAGCAGGGATCTGATTGGCTGCTGCTGGACGAGAAGTTATCCAGAGGTTTGCATCAGGAAGGAGGTTACCCTGAATCAGGTTTACTAGGAGATTAGCAACAGATGTTCTGTCTTTCAGAGACCACACTATCTTTGTGTTGTTGAAGTCCAGTTGATGTCTACTTTCATCCAGACCATCGAGGATCACAATTATCTTTGTTTGAGCGTATTCTGAGTCTTTGAGAGGCTGGAGCACAGGGTAAAACTCAGTCAGCAGATCAAGCAGGCTTTTCTCACCTTTACTCAAATTTAACACTCGAAAAGGAAGGTCAAAAACAAAATCAACATCCTGGTTTGTTTCCTCTTCAGCCCAGTCAAGACAGAACTTCTGCACAGCAAAGGATTTTCCAATGCCAGCAACTCCTTTCGTGAGCACTATTCTCTTAGCTGTTTCTTTACCAGACAAAGGTTTAAAGATGTCTCTGAGGTTTACAGAGCTATCATATGATGATTGCTTTGTCAATTTACTTTTGAGGTGTCTGAACTCGTGTTCTCCGTTTGGTCCTTCGCTATCTGCAGTTATGGTGTAGAGTGTTGTGTAGATGGTTTTCAGGGAAGTTTGTTGGTCACCATTACCTTCAGATGTCACAGAAAATTTCTGTTGCATTTCATTTTTAAGGGTATTTTTTACTTTTAAAAGATTATCATCACCTGTAAAAGTAAAATGAGAAGTTGTTGAAAGTAACGAATCAAAGAGGGTTCAGTTTATCAATTAATATTAGTGAAGTTTTGGAAAAAACACCCAGGGGCCTCATGTACAAAGACTTGTGTGGATTTCCTACTGAAAAATGGCATACGCTTAAATCGAGGACAGTGTACGCACAAATCAATCCAGATGTATGAAACCGTACGTATGCATGAATCCAAGCACACTTCCTTTGTACATCTCAATCGACATGGAATTGAGCGCACATGAGGGAATACCCGACTCCTCCCTTGACACGCCTCAATTTAAATATGCAAACAGATTTAAATATAACATGCACATGAGACATCATATACTACACGCACAGTTCCAAAAGGATTGGCCTTGGATTCGTCATAGTGGGTCGGAAAATCCTCTCTGTCACTAAACACCTGCTCTCTGCTTCTTGAGCCATTTGCTATATCTTCTAATAAGACTAAAGCTGTTGTTGTTAAAGGTATTTTCTGCACCAATTTGCTCCTGATTTTATATCCCAGTGCTTTCCCTACCTTTATACAAGCAGGGCGCCCTGCCCTGTCAACAGAACCGAGAGCCCTGCCCATCGAACTGACAACTGTTCATTCAACCTTTATTTAAACAGATAAATCACATTGAGCCTAAAAGACTCATTTACAAGTGAGACCTGTTTGGACAGACAAAAAAGTGATCAACTGGACACATGTTTGAGACGAAAAAATTCCTATCAGACTTTTTTTTCCTGCCTGAGGAAAAAAACCCTCTGATATTAAAAAACATCTTGCACAAGCAAGCACATATTGACGAAGACATTCTGCAGAAGGGGGAGCCGAGAGCGGTCAGCATGTTCATAGATGCTCTTGAGGTCACTGTAAGAGTTCTGTTAAGGATGTAATAATCTGTCAATGTCCTCCGGTGAGATCCATAAACATTCTCGAGGTATGTCAAGGAATGGCCAAGAATAACATCTATGAAAATCCAAGAGTCCTGAAATGATGACACAAAGTTTATTCAGTTGGTTTCATCTGGTTATCAGTTGGAAATTCCTCAGGGAGGGGGTGATGAGCGTCAGATCACATTTTCTCCAGGCGAGTTCAGATAAGATGATCTTCAAGGCCAGCCAAGGGAGCCAAATTCAGATAAACACAGTTGTTTTGGGGACAGGCAGAACTTAATGGCATCTACCTTGAGTCTGTGTTGGTCCACTCGGTTCCGAAATATCCAAATTACATGGCCACACCGATGGAACGTGAAAGAGTAAAATCCCCAAGATCTGATTCATTCAGCCCAAAGCATTTGAGTCTGGGTACTCGAGGCACGAATCCAGCCATCATAAAGGCAAGCAGCGTTATCGGGTCCAAAATTTGCTGCCGACGACTTCCTTGATTGATTGATAAAACCAGCAACCAGCCGAATCCAAAAAGCAGGAACCAGTTATCGAAAATCCAAATAAATATGTGTCCTTAAAATCCACAAATGGCAGCAGAGATAGACACATCATCAAGTCTTCCAGTCGATGAGATATCCAGATGCGTGCGTGCCAACAGGGCAAATCGGCTCGCCTAAAGCCTGTCTTCTCTTCAAGAAATTTTGTAAATTGAGTTGAGGGACCAACTGGTCAAAAAGTCCATAATTATGGTTCAGAAGAAATGCAAGAGAGTCTCAGAGCAGTTTCACAGACAGACAGAGCAGCAAAGCAAAGTGGAGAGGGAGCGGAGAAGCATCCGATCTCGGCAAGAGCAAGTGGTGAATGAACTGTGTCGACAACTGCCGGCACTGATATACCGCTAAGTTAGCGGCGCGCAATACAGATGTGCTAGCTAAAAAGCTACAGGAATCTAACTCTGTTTCCCTCACGCTGAGCCGTCTCAACCCCCCACCCACCCCCCTCGAAAACTGTTGTTACATCGGTAAAAGCAGCGTGTAACACAGACATGTCTCTGTCTACCCCTCCCCCCACGGTCGGCAAAAATCACGGAAGATATGAGCGCCCTGCAAAGGCAAGTAAATTAGGGGAAACACCGTATCCACACATCTAATTTTATACGTGGGGATGTATTAATTGTTCATCGTGTGTGCGTGATACGTAGTTTTTACATCATTAACAGTTTCCCAGTATCACCTCTAAGTGTCGCCAATGGACCAATAACCACAGAAACGTGAGTTTGCCAGCCATGAAGATGGTGTGGTCTGTGCACAGTTCCACCATCGTTTCATTCTTGAAACATTGGAAGTTTTGCATGAAAAAGGACGTACGCCACGTTTTTGTGCGTATTGACCCTTTGTACATGAGGCTCCAGATCACACACAAAATAAGTAGAAACTTAAATTTTTTGTTTCACGTAAAAAGTTGAGACCATGTTGATTACTGACCTAGAAAAGCTCTAGTCCATGAAAACTATCTAAATTATTTTTAATCACTAAAATGTCACCAAATACAACACAAATTATCTAAACATCCCAAAGGAATATGGACTTCACAGCTCTACTAAGATAATGCTACATTGCTAACGATTGTTGGTAAAATAACACAGTCAGAAGTTACCTGAAGATTTTTTGGGTTTCTTTCCACATTTTGGGCACAATAGTGATTCAGACTGATACAAGTCTGACTTTAAGCAGTCTTTGCAAGACCAGTGTCCACAGAACAACTTGACTGGACCTCTTAGTATTTTGTTGCATGTTGAACAGAGGGGTGGTTGGCTGTAGGGATTAAAAACAACACATTATTTCAGTTAGCGGTGTAGATAAATCACATTTCAATAAACTACAGATCAGTTTGAAGTATTTCAGATTGAGAATTTGAAAGTAAAAATTTATTTTTGCCAGCATGGATTACTTGTATGTGACAAAATATTATAAATGTTGCTGAACGGTGGTTGTTGGCTGTTTCTAAAAATCCAACGAGAGTAAAAGAAAATGTATTTTATGTGTTACAAATTAATACCAAACAAAAATAGATTAAATGGACCTTTGAGGATCTTCAGTATTAAAGTTTAATGGCTGGCCCTTGGACATGTCGCTCTTCATGGACTGAGAGGTGGGAACCCAAGGTCCAGCTCCGCTGATCTGAGAACTACAAACAGAACAGTCTTCACTCACAAATTACCTTTGGGTTGACGTTTTGACTGATTTATTAAGTACTTCCAAAACTTGGTAATTGAAATTCATAAAAAACATATTTTAAATACAACATTTTGTTTTTACCTTTGTGTCTTTTCAGCACTGATGTCCGGCGGCAGGGACATGGATGCATCACTCTTGAACGACAACAGGCTGGAAAAGTTTATTCAGAGTTAATCTCAACTTTTATTTATTTATTTTTGGGTAATAGACATTTTACAGTGTGTCGTGAAAGATGCAGACTTTACTTGTTGGTAAAAAACAAATAACCGAATGAACAATAAAACCTTGGATTCTGTTTTTTAAACTTTGGATCAACGTTACCTGTCAGGCAGCTCAGTGGACGAGCTCGCTGCAGGAGAGGAACCAGGTGCTCGCTGACAAGCCCCTCCCACAAGCCTGGCTCCGGGGTTGGGCCCTGGTTCTTCTGTATTTTTCCTCATTCTTACAAATGCTGTGAATCTCTCTGTCTGGTAGGTCACCCGGGACGGATCGACCTTGGGAGACTCTGAAGGCAAATGGCCCCGACAGCTCAACTCCTAAGATCATTCTCTCTCAGAGTTGAGAACGAGATGCTTCCTCAAGTGGAACGGTTTATGTATCTCAAGTATTTTTAAGAATGGTGCGTGAGATTGACAAGATGGATCGCTGCAGCTTCTGCAGTATTGTGAACTCTGTGCCGGTCCGTTGTGGTGAAGCGAGAGCTGAACTGCAAGCTAACAGTCATGTTCCTACGACCCTCACAAAGTCTGGCTAGTGATGGAACGAGATCTCAGATACAATCAGTCAAAATTAGTTTTCTCCGCATGGTGGCTGGGTTGTCCTTTAGAGGTAGCGTGAGAAGTTCCAAAGATAAATTATACGATCATTAGTAAATCGACAGTGATCAAAATCCAAAGCATGAATTCTCCACACAACAATCCTGATTACATGATACATACATGATGGCAGTGGGGTGAAAGGTCAGCTTCATTGACAATGTTCAGACAAGTCGTCTGGACGGTTTCTTTCTTTTGCTGAGATGTTTCATCCTTCATCCATAGGACTTCTTCAGTCCGAGGAGCCACAAAGAAACTGGAGTCCAACAAATACCACGCTCCCATGGTGGAAAAAAACAGTTTGGTTTCTGGGTGTTTTGAACCATTTTGGCACGACTGCCTCATATCATGATCGGCTCCCGTGTGTAGAACCCAAAGTGCAGGAAGACGAGGAGATTTGAAGGACAGACACGGAGGGATGAAGGAAACACGGAGCCTTGGACGGGACAAGGACGATCCAGAGACACTGACGAGACACCACGTGGCTGAACATATACAGACACTAACAAGGTGAAATGAAAGGCACCTGCGGTGATTAGGATCAGACACGGGTGTGACAGTGCTGGAACACAGGAGGAGAAATGCTGAGGGGTGACAGGCAAACATGAGGAAACAACATGTATGACAGGACCCCAGAAACACTACACCTCAGAGGAGTTGACGGGGGAGAGGGCAGGCCCCAGAAAACATCTTATCACCAGAAAATTGTTGTTTTTTTCCAGTGTGGTATTTGTGGGACTCCAGTTTCTTTGTGGCTCCTCGGACTGAAGAAGTCCTTTGGATAAAGGATGAAACATCTCAGCAAAAGAACGAAAACGTCCAGACGACCTGACTGAACATTGTTGCATTTGCACCTGGATTATTGAGCGTGGACTTATTGAAAATGTCCAAGTCCATGGTGTAAATGGACAAAGAGTTGGATTAAAGAACATGTAAGAACTTTAAAACACCACAATGGGAAGAGCTCACCTGCTGACGACTACCAGCCGAACCATTTTATGATCA